CATGCGATTGAAGACTTTGTTATGGGCGATGTAGTGTTCGTTAGTTTAAGTTTAGAGAATATTCAATATTTTTCTTGCTCTTCTATTTGAAATAAATGTGTTACTTTCATAAGACTCATTTTAAATGCGGAAACTTGGAAACTTTATCGAAAGAAACGACAGGTGGTGAAACAGGTCGACCTTCTACTACGTACACTTTATTTTTGTGTCAACACTTACATCAATTATATAATAATAATAATAATAATAATAATAATAAGGATAAGAATAAGAATGACGATGGCGGTGATGTCGATGAATCGTAATTAATAATAGTAATAATAATTAATTCGTAATTATGTGCAATGATAACCGGTCGCACGCAAAAGAAATGGTAATCTCTGTTACGTTTAAATATATTATATCTTTACCGTCACCTCTCTCCATCAGCCTATTGGCTTCCAGACAGATCCAAGATGGATCTCAGATTACTCATTCCTGCAGAAGCTATCACCTTGACACTTGGCAAGAAGCTCTTGATATTATAATATATTTATATAGTGATACCGCGTGTAATGAAACTGTCTCCTTTCGTCATCCGACTTCTTTCATCTTTATCACTTCCCGCACTCCATTTTTCGTTTTATTTATGCAGAGGATCTATATCCCTTCCTCTCAAACAAAACGTAAGGATTACATACCCGCTAGGATCGTTTATAGGTTTATAAATATGCACGTATATGTATATCACCTCGCTCCTCCGCACAGGCACGCGAAAATCAAATTTGGTATTTCGTATCTGTTTTTCTTTCTCTTTTCTCTGCATCTTTGTTCTCTTCTCCTCGCATTCATCCTTATCACGTAGTTACTCGTGTTCTCGTGCGCTTCTTTTCTTTCTCGCTCGCATCCTCGCTTGCTCCCTATAATTGTATGTAGTTATTCTCCAGAACGTGTCAAGTGTCGACCAAGAGCGGATCAACGTTCGAGAATGAGGGAATCCGGGAAATGACGATCCAGGATTAGATGATTTCTTTTGTGCGAATGTGATTCTGTGTTGATTCTTGTCGCCATCCATTGATCGGCGCTTCATCGATACTTGCACGTCTCTTTGGATTTATCTCCTCGTACTATATCGTATCGTTATCGCGATCATATTTATGGTTGTTATCCATCGAGGTTAATGGTTATTTGATGCGTTGCAGTCCTTACACCTTACGACTTATGGTTTACGTTACAGAGAGTATCTTACATGCTAAGTTTCTCTTTCCAAAAATTAGGAAGTTCGCCGTTCTTTCTTTGTTCTTTCTTTTGTCCCTTGATGTAGGGTTGTCGTCAATTTCATCGTCAAATACGTTCAGTTTCGTCGATACCTATCAAAATTGAACGATTTGTGAGGAAAAGACGCTTCTCATTATCCGCTTTGTTTCTCAAAAGAGAATATGAAAGAAGCAATTGTCCTCGACACTGTAGCAGACTTAATGCCGGTTACCCTAATTTGCAATCACGAAGTAAAAGCAACGAAACCCTCTGTCACATCTATCGCATTTCCACTCTTTTTTTTATTTTGCAACTTGGTTTTTATTACAAGAGATTGTTTAATTACTTTGACACCGAAAAACCGCGTCAGTCTTTTACTCTGATACGATAAAAATAAATCCTCTCTCGTCGTTTCTTCCGTCATACTTTTTTCATACTTGTTCCCGGTTCGGACGAAGCTTCGTCGTAACTTAATTAAAAGCGATGTATTTTTATTTCGTAAAAGAGCGCGATTTATAAACGTTTCCGCTGATAAATTCTGGCAAACTTTGTACTTTAATAATTATTTTATATAAGTAAGGTCGTGATTGTAACGTCGCGTCGCGAAAAACTGGAGATAAAAAGAATAGCAGATAAAGTAATAGTAATTTTACATCAAAAGGACACGCGAACGAAATTTTTAGTCCAAAGATATGTCCGAATATCTCTCTCATTGACGAACGATATTATCTATCTTGTTAAAATATATCTCTGTTTTATCTTAAATGGGATTATATCGTTACGATATTTAGTTATGAGTTAAGAAGCGTGAAAATGTTAAAACGCACAAAAATAATACAAAAATATACAAGTTCACCAATTCCCCGCTTTTCTCCTTCATGATTGCAGATCGAATGTACCAGACTTTCATAACATTAGATTTACAATAAAATCACGTAAAAATCGTTAGACGATTTTAAGGCATGTCTAAAGAAAAATTTACAAAATCATAACGTCTCATGTTCATTTCTACCTGTAGATTAACATTTAATTCACTTTTCGTCTTCTACTAGTTCTAAGAATTAAAAAAAAAAGCTAGAGTAAATTAAACTAATCGTAAAATTGAAGTTAACCTACATCGGTAGAAATGGGCCTCAGTGATGAAGTTCATAAAAATGCCGTTCTCTCATCAGAATTTCGAATTGTCGAATTAAAATCGCGCGTATGTTAATGAGAAACGCTATGAAGGAATCGAGTTCACGCTACCGTATTAATACATGAAGTAACAAAAAGCTCGTGTCTCAAATTCGCAGTTCACTTAAAAGGATTCGCACTTCCGTTTGCACATATATCCTCTTAGATATATTTACGTATGTAACTGCATTTAAAAAAATTCGCCGATAACTATAACGACTTAGGATACGACATTGAAATTGAAGGGTATTATCGAACACTATGCAAACGTGGCCCTCACGTGCGCTTCGTCGCCTTCTTGACACGGGCTTGCGATGATGTTTCTCTGGGCATATTAATCAAACGCAATGGCAGCTTCTGCTTTTCAGAAAAGTCAGCTTTGTAACAGTTATAACATTCTTTTATATATGATTGGTATCTTAGTGGATCTAAATAAATCAATCATATTAAAGAACCTTACAACAAAACTGCCTTTTCTGCAGAACGCAGTCATTAACAATCTTTGTAATCTTTATAATAAAACGTAAATACATAATTGAATCTTTACTCAATATTTATTCGTGACAAAATAGGAAGGAAATTTTCTCGCGGGTTCCACTTGTTGTAGACGTGAAATGTAGAATATTATGAAAACGCATTTATACCGTTGCACTCATGATCTTAAATTGCACAGAGAAAAACGCGCAAGAGAGAGGACTCCGAGCGGTTCTCACATAATCGTTCACGCATATGCAAATCACGCAGTTTTGCAAAATGAAACATTAAAACAAACACCCTGATGAACCCGTCCGGCGTGATTTTTATTTCGCGTCATTTTAAAAACCCTGATGGGAGAAACAGATACACTCACGCTCTGAGATGATTCCTAACGATTCCTAATTATACGCAAATCTGTATTCTTTTAATCATGTTTATCGAATAGACGGACTATATCGCTCGGTTTTCTATGCAATTAGTGATCTATCTATCTAATAACGAATGATAGATAATGCGGATAGATGACTATATGCTCGAAAGAATCATATCTAGGCGGTTTCTCTCGCGTGAACTTCATTATTGAATATTGCGGAATGTTATCGGATAATATTATTATGATAAATTTTCTGGTGAAAGTTTAAATTAATAGACGCGATTATTGAAAGCCAACATAGCTTATTACAGCATAAAACTGCAACTGTGTGTGTGTGTGTGTGTGTGTGTGTGTAAAAAGATAAATTTTTATTTTATTTTCTATCTGAACGATCTATCCAATGACCAATCAAGTGGGCAGATAATGCTCTTGTGCTCGAAAGAATTTTTTTATTTCTGCAGAACTATTTCTCGAATAGGCTTCTCTACTGCAGAATATTATTGGACGTTACGTTATGACAAAAGTATAAATGAAGATGTAATACCGAAAAGTAATACAATTCATTACAATAGAAATAATGTGATCGAATGACTTGATATAGGGAAAAGAAAACATTTTGAAATTCATCCCTGATTCAAATATAATGATATCGCTATAATTCGACGAAATTCGTCTTTTCATGTATTCTCTCAACCGATCCCTTCCGAAACAATTCTTCCTATTATGCGAATGATGATGAATTCTGCGACAGGGACATCCACGTGCTATGCTCAGCACGCATTCCTTACAGAAATTTAATCACTCTAGAAAGTATAGTAATTAATTACTTATTTTGAGTATTAAAATGACTGTTGTTCAATACTTTTAATACTTAAAATAAGCAATTTTTAGTATTAAATTGGATTTCTGTAAGAAATGTCCAAAGGAATAAGACATGCCTTAATGACATTTTTCAGAAGTTTTACATGCTGATTTTGAACATGCGTGCTGTCTGATAACAATAACGGTCTAATAATCGTATTGCGATATACACTGCCAGTACTAAAAATCTATAGTACACGTTACATATATTAGATTTTCAATGTGGGTATAGTATATATCGGAATACGATCTATATATATATA